TCATTTTTATTTTTATTATTATTTTTATTTTTATTATTATTATCATTATTATTCGAACTACGTCACCGTTGTAAACGTTGTCAAGAAAAAAAAAAGAGAGAAAAAAACACGAAAATAGAATAATATCAATTAAAAATGAAATACATACATATATCATCACAGATATAAAAAAAGAAATAATAATAATCAATGAAACAAACAAACGAAAAAAAAATAATAATAACGCGCTTGAAAAAACTTATGATTGCTGCTGCTACTTGGTGTACGTGCACTATAGGACGCCTTATCATTTTACGGTTTTTTTTTTTAGATGCTTATTAATTAACGAATCCGGACAATTTAAAAAAAAATGAACAAATGTGTTGTGGATGATCCCGTTAAATAGAGAAAACAAAAAAGAAAACAAAAATGAAGTAGAAAAGTTAGAGAAATGAGGGATACGATAAACGAGGATAAAAAAAAAAATGAACGAGGCGAAAAAATTGACCGGAAAAAAAAAAAACAAAAAAAAAAGAAAATAAAAAATAATAATAATAATAACGATGAAATTTTAATGCTCCAACGCTTTATTATCATTTACCGGTGAATCCTTGTAATAAAAAACATTGTTGCGGTAGTAGAAAAATTGCGAGAAAAAAAACGCATTACACATTACGAATAATATTTAATAAAATATTGTACAGAAGAAGTGTGAGGAGATGCACCCCCCGCCCCCACCCCCACCCCACACCCCAGTTAGAATTAATAATCGAACGAATAATTAAACGGAAAAAAAAAGAAAGAAAATTAAACCAAAAAAAAGAAAAACACAACACACACACATATATATATTTAGAGAAAAAAAAAAGAAAAATGGCGAAGCTTTGACGAACGAAGATTATTAAAAAAAAATCGTTATATGCTCGAATTATAAGTGACAATAAAATTGAAAAATGAAATACGTTAAAAAAAAAAAAGAAACAAAAAAAAAACCTCCATTATTGTATAATCAAAAATAATTTAAAAGAAATAAAAAAAAAACTTAATAAG